AAAAAAATTTTTTTCAGTGTTTAAAAGGAGGATTTATTTGACAAGTTTCACTTAGCACAATACACCTGAAAGGAAATCACAGCACAATGAAAGATTTAAATCAAGGCCTCAGAATTTCATATAAACAAGACCAAAATCCTAAAGTATTGGTTCTGTGTCTCAAATTTTACCCATTAACTTAAAAAAAAAAAAGCTTAAACTTACATGCTTTACAGGTTATTAAATGAAACTAGAATTAACAAACATGCCAAATGTCTCGCTTTTAATTGTACACACAGCTCCCATATTGAATTGTACAAAAAAGCATTTCTTTCATCATGCATCCAGTGATCAATGTAATGTGGTATAAGAGCAACGTTTAACATAATTCAACTGGTTTAACCTAAATATGCTTACTGCTTAAGTACATCCTAGAATATAACTAACTTGAGAAAGGCTGAAAATTGTTTATTAGTTATAGTTTCCTCAACTTCCTTGTTACTTCCTAGATTAGTGGTGTTCAAAAATACTGAACCTTAAAGTCTTTAAAACAATCCTGATTTCCACTTATAAGTAAGCATAAATCACAAGTTTGTATTGCAAAAATGTTAAACTGAAGTTTTGTTTGTTCTTAAAAAAAAGTTGACCAAGAGTCAGTGATCAGGTCAATTAAATTCCCCATCTTCCACTCATACTGGACATGCTAGACATCCTTCCCATTCCATTCACACCCATAGATGCATGGCTTCCACTACTGTAGTGGCTGTTGTTCATTGCTCCTTGGCTACCTATGCAGTGTTCGATTGAAAATCACTGGAGTTTTACTGTAAAACTTGGTCATATCTGCTCATGCTGTTCTAGTCAGCATAGCTGCTTCCATAACCACCACTTAGCTGTTGGCTGGCTGGGCCACCATAACTGGACTGGTTTGACAAACCTACACCTCCTAGCATTTAGCTACTGTAAGCATCACCACTTCCTCCTGCTGTAGAATTGAAGAAGAGTTCTACATATCTATGTTGCATATTTGCTTTATCTTTTGACATAGCTGCCACAGCATCTTCATGAGTTGCAAATTAAATATCTGCCTCACCAGCTACTCTGCTGTCAGGACCAATTTCAACGTGTACTCTCACAGGGTTGAGTGTGAAAAAAAGTTATCAATGTCATTCTCAATAGCTCTGTAAGTAATTCCCACGTGTACACAGTGTCCTGTTATGCTCTGGAAAGTAGAGTCACCACCCCCATGTCTATGATTAGACATTCCTGAAAAACAGTGATTGAGGTCTCTTCCAAATCTATCTGACCCAAATCCATAGCCATCATTATAGCCACCATAATCATGATAGCCTCCATAGCCTCCACCATAAACACCGTGCCTCATATTCTCACAGCCAGCTCCTCTGCCAATACTGTTGTACCCCCTGCCAGCCCCGGGTCTGTTACAGAGACCTGGCTGCTGCACGGCCATAAGCTTCCATGGTGGATCATAGTGAGTTTTAACTTTAACTCGACCTCCCTTAAAGATTTTGATATACCTGTGT